ACTTTACTATCAAAACCACCATTTCGACCACCCATGTGCCAGTTTTCAGTGTTTGGGCGAGCGGTCAATGTTTTTAATGAGCGAGCGAGCGAAAAAAAAACGCGATTAAAATGCGGTCGGTTTCCGGTCGGACAAGACCGCGTGGTCGGAAATTAAGCAATAAGCGGTCGATGTAAAAGCGGAAGGTTGGGCGAAATGAGTACTGTATGACCATGTTTCTCCGACGAAGTCTCGACTGACAATAATGCTGACAATGGACGTTAGATAAACACGCATTGTTTGCAACTGGAAGCTTATCACCCGTTATATCAGACTCGTCAACAACAGAGTATAAAGATAAGATGTTATCATTTAAACCCTTTCAAAGATAACAACTATGCAAATATCCACGAAACGGCAGTTGTAGTCTTTTCTGCTAGTGTTTTAAAACACTAATTTGAGCAACGTTATTTCGCAATTTCGATCTTTTGTAAACCTGGGGTGATGTATCAAGGTCTAAAGTAACCGTTTTATCAATTTTTGAAAAATCAAGAAAAAAGTGAAAATTTCCCTTCTTCGCTACCTTAAGTGTTTGATTCCATTAGATATAATATACTATGACGTCACTTTGATACACATGTGAGATACTGATACAAAAAATAAATAAATGAGTAACTTGTAAAGACCGCTGAGGGCGTAATTAAAATATTAGGGGCGTGAACATAACTGCCATTTTGATCACCAGCAAGGTATATAAACAATTCACATGCACCTGTAACTCACTGTGTATCGTCGTTTTATTGAAGTCTAAGTATGCATACACTTTATGAGTTCTTTGTAATTGTAACCCATCATAAATCAACTTATACCACGAAAAACGCGATATAGTTTACAATCCTTATAAAAACAATGTATAAAATCATAAAATCAAAGATTTACAACAGTGATTTATAACGTTTAACAAAATGGGCGGGCAAATGAGCAAATGGTTAACATTTAAAAAGCCGCACCGGTCAGACATACTTAAAAGCAGACATATTTAGAAATACACACAGATAAACAAGCTGACATACAGACTTTTCACAAAACAAAGCGGCATATTCCGATATCAATCAATCAAACAATCAAAAGATCACTGATATTATCATCAACCCTGACCTAAATTGCTATATAAATGACAAACATGTAGCGTGAGTGGGTAGATTTAAACCACTATGGTTGTTTTCATATGCATATTTTAACCGCCACGGTTGTATTCATATGCAGATTTAAACAACTACGGTTGTATTCATATGCAGATTTAAACCACTACGGTTGTATTCATATGCAGATTTAAACCACTACGGTTGTATTCATATGCAGATTTAAACCACTACGGTTGTATTCATATGCAGATTTAAACCACTACGGTTGTATTCATATACAGATTTAAACCACTACGGTTGTATTCATGTGCAGATTTAAACCACTACGGTTGTATTCATATGCAGATTTAAACCACTACGGTTGTATTCATATACAGATTTAAACCACTACGGTTGTATTCATGTGCAGATTTAAACCACTACGGTTGTATTCATGTGCAGATTTAAACCACTACGGTTGTATTCATATGCAGATTTAAACCACTACGGTTGTATTCATATGCAGATTGAAACACTACGGTTGAATTCATATGCAGATTTAAACACTACGGTTGTATTCATATGCAGATTTTAACCGCCACGTCTGTATTCATATGCAGATTTAAACACTACGGTTGTATTCATATGCAGATTTAATCACTACGGTTGTATTCATATGCAGATTTAAACCACTATGGTTGTATTCATATGCAGATTTCAACCACTACGGTTGTATTCATATGCAGATTTCAACTGCAATGGTTGTATTCATATGCAGATTTAAACCACTACGGTTGTATTCATATGCAGATTGAAACCACTACGGTTGTATTCATATGCAGATTTAAACCACTACGGTTGTATTCATATGCAGATTTAAACCACTACGGTTGTAGTGTCATAA